TGACCAAGGAAGAAAGCAAACACATGGGGCCAAGAAGCAGTGACGTACAAAGCTGAATATGAGAAGCGATGGTACAAGGTATCTTCCCAAAATTCCCTTGAATTCTTTACAATCAACATAAAAGCAACTGCCAAAGATGAGAAACCTCAAGTTAAGCTCAATGATGAGGATAAACAGAAGATTCTTGTCAACTGTAATAAAACTAGATGCCTGGTGCACAATATTCATGCACAGGGGGATAGGGGGTGTCCCTCAGCACAGCCTGCACCCTCTCCAATCTGGGACCCCTCGAAAGATGTCCAACTGCCCACTTAAGCCTGATTCTGGTGGGATTGGGCAGTCGGACATACCTTTCACAATCCAGGACTGCTGGCTCCCAACAGCTCACCTGCCTGCCTGATTGCCCCTAACCACTTCTGCCTGCCAGCCTTATCACCCCCCTAACCACTGCCCTGCCAGCCTGATCGATGACTAACTGTTCCCCTGTCAGCCAGATTGCCCCTAACTGCCCTCTCCTGCTGGCCTGGGTCCACCCAACTGCCCTCACCTGCAGGCCTGGGTCCCCCAAACTGCCCTCCCCTGCTGGCCTGATTGCATGCAACTGCCTACCCTGCAGGCCTGGTCCCCCCCCCCCACCTGCCCTCCCCTTCAGGCCTGGGTCCCCCCCAATTGCCCTCCCCTTCTGGCAGGATCACCCATAACTGTCCTCCCCTGCTAGCCATCTTGTGGCGGCCATCTTTGACCACATGGTGGCAGCCATCTTGTGTGTTGGAGTTATGGTCAATTTGCATATTACCTCTTTATTATACAGGATACTCAACTGCCTTGATAGGAATCAGAGTGCAAAAAAGGAAGAATTTGAGTATCAGCAGAAAGAGTTAGAGAAAGTCTGCAACTCTATGATTCCCAAGCTGTCCCAGAGTGCAGGAGGTAAGCCAGGAGAAATGCCTGGGGCTTCTCAAGTGATTGAACTCTTCCACCTGGTGGTTCCTCTTTTGAGCCCACCAAAGAAGAGGTGCATCATGCCAACCTGAACATGCATTTAGTTGTTGTTCCATACAAAGTATCGAAAGACCAAAGTTTATAGCAAATTCCATGACACTTTTAAGGCTGAACTGCTACCATAAGTAACTGGAATTCTCAATACTTGAATATGGAACATGTGCACAGAGAAAGGAAATAACCTTGCTCTTTCTGGGCACTGTAGTATAAGTGGAATGTCTTAAATCAAACTGTATTTGAAATTGTCAAACACACAAACATACAAAAATAACCCCACAATACAAACCATAAACTTTCATTACATTCACATACAGTTTACTTCTAAGGACATAGGACAAAAATATAGAGGTATGCTTCCCTGGGCCTGAATACTGGTTAATTATGAGAGTGGAAGTTTGAGGATACACGTTGTACTGAGCACTGAATACCATGTGACAGTATTGTCTACATTTTCTTAATAAATGCATTTTGTATGAATTTGTGACATCTGAGGCCTCTAAAGTGTGGAACCCAAGCAAGGAGCCATCTCTCCCTGGTGTTATTATTATTAAACCCATTTAACAGATGAGAAAACTGGGACTTGAGTGTATCAGTAAGTATAAAATATAGGAAATAGGAAAATTTCTACAGGCTTTTAGCAGAATAGAATTTAATACACAAATTATTAGATCACAAAATGACAGGAAGTCCTAGGGCATGAAGGTAGAAAACTACTTTCTCCATTACAACAGAAAAGGAAGAAATTAAAGATAGATGAAGTTGGGCTTTGTTTTTGGGAGAGCGGGTATAGGTATGTAGATCTGATGTACTGGAGATGAAACCATTTTCATCCAGTGGCTTCTTTGGACAATAAAATGAGGCAGTTGAGAAGACTTACAGGATGAGGTTGAAGGATTGAGAAGAAAGAAAAGATATGTAAGTGGGTGCAGAGCATCTTCAAGGAAACTTGTATGGTTGGCAGACAGCATTTCAGATTCAGTTGATGATGTTAATCATTAATTTGTAGGAAATCAATTTTATCTAATTATATGCACTTTTTCTTCTTGACCTTTACCAAGATACATATCTAGTTATCAGTTTCATATTCTAAAGTAGAGATGATAAAAGGACCACGTAGTATTGCTTTGTGGAATTTAATACTTGTTCCTACCCTAGATATGTCAAACATATAGTCCCAGCCCAAGTTCAAATTCCATCAGAGAATGAACCTCAGTCTCATGAAGTTCCTTTCCTTTCAGCACCTCTGCACATCCTTCCTCTAACCCAGACCACCTCCAGCTCCCAGCCCTGAGCTCCTGAGAAAAAATTCCCTAATCAGAGCTGCCACAGATCAGGAGAGACCCAGCCCCACAGCACAAATAAATGTAAGTCTGGAGGCCCTGCCTATGAAGTCAGTCCAAAGTTGGAGGAGGAGGCAATTTGAAGAAAAGACCTAGTGTTCTGTGAAAGGCTCTACTGCACAGGGGAGGTGTGGATGGAGAGAGCTGTGCTTCTTGACAGGAAAGTGGGATAAAAGAGAACAAGAGGAGGGAAAGGGGTGGGAAGGTAGAACAGTAGAGGTTAGAGTAAAATAGTTATGATAATTAAAAGGCTTGGGTCCTGTGTGCCAGGATTCTGAGGTGAAAGTCTCTTCCTAAGTGTTTGCTTTCTATTATTAATCTGTGATGCCTAGATCAGTGGTCTTCACAGTAGAGTGTACATACATTGGAGGGTGTGAAAAGACTCTTCAAGATACTCAGATAGGAGTAGTGTGAACAAGATGAGTGTTTGTACCTTCAGACTCCATATGTGCTCTTCCTTAACATGGGCTATACAGGCTCATTTCCATTCAATCTCTCACAATCATCCTCTTTTATTTTAAAAAGCACAATAGCCTTTCCCTCCTCTCCCATTCCTTTTCTTCTTTCCCTTCCCGTCCCTTCCCTTCCCTTCTCTTCCCTTTCCTTTATCTTCTAGAACAACTCAGTCTTAAACTGTTCAGGTAGGCAGAGCAAAATTGATAACTTTGCTGGCACTCAGAGGAACAGGGTGTAGAAGTGGAACTGAGGTGGCCCACAGTAAGAGATCAGAGCCCAAGCAGGAAAGGGATACCAATCCCTGGAGGCAGCCGGATATGGGGGAGGTGAAAGTCCATGGGGGGGGAGGGAGTTCTCTGATGAGTGTCAGAGCCAGAGCACAGTGAGGAATGGGTAGGACATGGCAGAGCCCACACAAGGTAAAGAAGCGTCCATGTGGAGGGAGTGCCCAGCATAGTGCTGGAGAGGGTTGAGGGAGGCATTCATGTAGGAGAAAGCATGTAAACAGAGGTGAGAAGTTGGCTTCATACAGGGAGGTTGATAATCAAGAGCTATGATTCTCACTTTCAGAGATGAAAATTATAACTATAAATGCTTGTGGGGGGCGGGGAGGAGACTCAAGGTGGTGGGAGAGACTAAAATGAAATCACTAGCTGGTGATTTCAATGTAACTTGAGGAAGTAGCCATGACGAACCAAGTGAAATCCCTGAAGAAATTTACCAAGAATATCAGATTGATCCAGCAAAGTATGATTGACAGCTGGAAAAGTACTCATCCCTTCTCTTAGAAAGTAAGGCCCCTCATTACAGCTGGTGTGCTTGAGAGTTGCCTAAGAGAACCCCAAACTGCTGTCATCCTCCAGCTCCTCCTGAGACTTCATAGAACAAGCAGTATTGTTCCTGTTTTCCTTTTATCAAAACCATTTCCTTTGAATTCCACCAGAAGTATATCACGTGTGGCATGGAAGAAGTACAAAGGAACTAGTGGAGAAAATGTATTGGATATTTTAATTTTTTTTTACCACCCAAAATATTACTTCATTAAACATCGGCACTATTATGGTACTTAAAAAACAAACAAAAATCCTAATACCTGTTAATCTCACCAAAAAATGGCAAGGCTCATCAGCTATCAAAGTCTTAAAAAAAAAAAAGCATTAAGCCAATTACAGCCCAAAAGATTTTTGGGAATACTCATTGCAGTCATTATCTTGGCTGTTGTTATTCTTACTACTGCCAGCATCACAGTGGCGGCCCTTTCTAAATCTGTGCAAATGGCCACATTTGTAGACAATATGACGTATAATGCCGGGAGCCGGTCCATCCTTGCTGCTTGACACAGTCGCTGCAGGAAAGAAACATCTGCACAGCATATGTTTCAAGGGACCTGGCATATATAGTATATTGTTCTTAATATGTTTGCTCTCCTTAGCGCCATGTGTTTTAACCAAGGTCACCTCTCTGAGAAAGGTTGTTTCCCCAGGTGGGGATTTTTCCCTGAGGTTAGGGAGGGGATACAACTCCTTAATTAAGTGTCAGGCGGGTAGTTAAGCTACATAATCTTTACTCCCTGGAATGAAGATAAGAAACGCCCTAACCTTTGTAATAGAAATTGACAGGATTAAAATCGACTGGTATAAATATAGATGTAACAACACAACCTGATCAGCTCCTCATCAGCTCCTCATCAGCTCCTCATCAGCTCCTCATCAGATCCTCATCAGACCCTGATCAGATCCTAACCAGAACCTAGCCAGAGAAGATGGCAAAAGATCCTGGACAGAACCTGGCTACAGAACTTCACTGGAGAACCTAGACAGAACATGGCAAAAGAACCTGGTGACTGAACCTGGCTGGAGAACCTAGCGAGAGAACATGGCACCAGAACTTGGTTGGAGATCCTGACCAGAACTTCGCTGGAGATCCTAACCAGAACTTCGCTGGAGATTCTGGAGGGAGAACCTCGCTATGCTGATGAACTGAACCCAGTTTCCATGTCATTCATTCTTCGCCGACTCCGTCCACACCTTTGGGGATCCCTGGACCCGTTGGGGTTGGACCCCAACAGTATAATATAACTAAAAATTCACTCGGGGCACGGCCGCCGGCGATTGGGTTCACGGCATCAGGGGCCGGGAAGGTGCACGCAGTGGAGCGGCAGCCCACCAACTGTCGGCATCTCAGGATTCTAGGACAGACAGGTCGGACATTCTGTCAGGATGCCTGAAATCAACACCGACCATCTCGATGAGCAGCAGGTTCAGCTCCTGGCCGAGATGTGCATTCTTATTGATGAAAATGACAATAAAATTGGGGCTGAGACCAAAAAGAATTGTCACCTGAATGAAAAGGTTGAGAAAGGATTATTGCATCGAGCTTTTAGTGTCTTCTTATTCAACACTGACAATAAACTCCTGCTACAGCAGAGATCAGATGCTAAAATTAGCTTTCCAGGTTGTTTTACCAATACTTGTTATAGTCATCCCTTAAGTAACCCAGGAGAGCTTGACGAGAATGATGCAATTGGAGTTAGGCGAGCAGCACAGAGGCGTTTAAAGGCCGAATTGGGAATTCCCATGGAACAGGTTCCTCTAGAAGAAATTAATTATCTGACTAGAATTCACTACAAGGCTCAGTCTGATAGTATCTGGGGAGAATATGAAATTGATTACATTTTGTTTGTGAGAAAGAACGTGACTTTGGATCCAGACCCCAATGAGATTAAAAGCTATTGCTATGTGTCAAAGGAAGAAGTGGAAGAAATGCTGAAAAAGGCAGCCAGCAGTGAAATTAAGATAACTCCATGGTTTCAATGTATTGCAGAAGCTTTTCTCTTTACGTGGTGGGATAACTTAAATAATTTGAATCAGTTTGCTGACCATGGGAAAATACACAGAATGTGAATGTGGAGATGAATGATTAGTAAAGCACTAAAAATGTCTCTACTTAGTAAACTTAAAATGATTTTTTAAAAATTGGGATCCCCAGTAGAACTCTCATTGGATACACTGGTACTTTACAACCCGAATTTGTGTGGAAAGATGCTGTCAATTCTTACTGTATCACACACCCCACATATATGCACTCCTATTTGTTGTCGAGTAACACTCCCTCCATGTTCTGCGTGGAGTAGGGTTCGGTATCTGAAAGTGGAGCCGACAACAAATGAGAGAAAAAGACACAAGATAATTTTGCAATATCGGGGGACCAGGCGGGCAAGTCCAGAAGGACTTCCACCGATCTCAGGCCGCTCTAAGCTTTTATTTGATCTGGGGTAGCCCTAGGGTAAGGTGGTTTGAATGACACATGGATTAGCTCATTGATAGACAATTTCCAGAAATAGGCAGAATATCTGATCAACAATAATCAACAAGGATCTACACAAGTATCTAAGGAATTAAGGGAACTAAGGTGGGGATGCTTCAGCTATTATTACCTAAATTAACTGGGTGGTTCCTAGATTAACTGGGTGGTGCAGTTCTGACCTTTGCTAGGACTTCAAAGGTTACTAGCTTTTGGGGGTCTCTGTCTAAACTCAGCTAGTGAAGACAATGAATGGACTCCGGCAATTTGTAAAGGACATTTATGAAAGATTATTTTTAAAAAGCAAATCAACTAAACGTAACCTGTCTAAACAGTCCTGATGAAGCATCCATCTTATATAAAAGCTGTTGTTTGAAATTTTAACCCTGCTATTTCTGGCTTCTGTAAATGCTTGCTGGCTTAAATAAAATGGAAAATAAGACTACTCCTATTTCAGAGAGGCCATTAAACCTTCTCCAGATGGAGTTATCAGTGCTGGCGTCAGGCCAAACCTTTGGTCAAGGTCTCAAAGCCCCAGCACATAGGGCCCTTTAAGAACTTGCAAAGGGAACCGGAAAAAATCCATATTTGGGAGACAAAGAGGGAAAGATCGTATAAATATGAGAAACTTCGTGTGTGATTGCACCCAGAATTTGAGAGACATTTTCCTCTGGGCCCGCGCGTAATAAATGTAACTCCATCACTCTAAGCGTTGCTTGGTTCTTCTCTGGTTTTTCTGTAACACTGACAAATTTGAACAAATAAGTGAAGCTCTTTATTTGCGATGTGTTGAGACATTTTCAGAACCCACAGAGCACTTTATTTGCCAGGTGCTTTACATATCACTAGAGTTTTATCATAGTCCGGAAAAATGTGCAACAGAAACTGTCTGCTTAGTTGCTTCAGAACAGCTCAAATTAACTTTCCATATTAAGATATTATATGGGGAGCAGGTCAGAGCTAACTAAATGGTGTATGTCCTGATCTCTATCAGTCTGTGTTCTCAGAATTACAGGGGACAGACTATTTGTAAAATGGAAATTGGGTCATACTCTACCACAGGGGTTCTTACTGCTGGTTCTGTTAACATTTGGGCTGGGTAATTCTTGGTTGTGGGGGTTCATTCTGTGCATTAAAGGACATTTAGCAGCATCCTTGGGTTCTCTCCACTATTTGCCATTGGTACCAACCCCTCCCCCCCATCACAGTCACAGTTATTACTGATGCCAAATGTGTGCTGGAGAGCAAAGGTGCTCCTGTTGAGAACCACTGCTCTACAAAGTCATGCCATATTGGGGGGAGCAGAGGGAATTAAACAGAAATGCTAATATTCATGTTAAATGGAATTGGGGTCTGGAGTATGTGTATATTAATATTTAAACTGTACCTTGATTGATGCACTTTTTAAAACTCTTGCATAGATTTCTCAGTTTGAAATCTCAAGACAGCTTTATAATCTTTGAATGCTGTGTAATAATAATTTAAAAAATTGTTTCTTATAAGCTAAATATTTTATAAATTTAATGGAAGAATCCATTTCTTGTTAATTCTGAGGAGTTAATTCATAATTTCAGGGAAAATTTGTCAAAAGTATTAATTTTACTGAAAAGTAAAAAATTACATTTTTTTAAAAAAATTCACTATACTACAGCACATAAATCAAAAAATAGGGAGAAACCAAGATGGCGGCATAGGTAAACACCGGAGTTTGCTGCCTCGAACAACCACTTCAAAAATACAACTAAAAGATGGAACGGACACCATCCAAAACCACAGGAAGGCTGGCTGAGTGGAAATTCTACAACTAGAAGGAAAGAGAAAAGCATACCGAGACTCAAAGGAGGCGCAGTGCAGAAGTAAAATACTAAGGTGCGGAGTGCATGCAGAGCAGGCTGGCGGCTGAGGGCGCGGTTGTCGTTTTCAATCAGGAGGGAGTCTCAGGCTCTGAGCTCCAGTTCCGGACGAGTCTCTAGGGACCCAGACTCATATGGGAGAAGCGGGACTGTCTGGCATAGGTCAGAACTCGAGGGCAGCTTTCTCTCCGAGGGGCTTGCAGCGATAACCAGGACATTGAGAAGCAGAGCCTCTGAGGACAGAACTGAGAGCAGCCATAACTTCTAGCCCCGCCCTGTTGATCCCCTGGGACCCGCCCCGCCCAAGCCCTGCAGGGAGGCTTTTGCTGGATAGCCTCAGGCAAAGGCTAGATTAGAACCTCCCTAGAGATCCAGGAGCCAGGAAACCCAGAGGTCAGAGTGGGACCATAAAGGACATACTCAGAGGGCAGACTCAGTGAGCACCAAAGCCCCATGGAAGCAAGTCTTGCCCCAGAGGGGTGTCTCCAGCACAGTTCTCCCACTGCAGACACAGCTGATTCTCACAGCCAATTGGCTTGGAGGTCAATTCCTCCCAGTGACACCTACAACAATCAAGGCTTAACTACAATGAGACTGTGCACAAAGACCTCAAGGGGGTGCACCAAGAGTGTCCTCCTCAGGTAATTGGGGAGGCTGAACCACTGGGCCCTAGAGGACACTTAGCACAGAAAACCACTTTATCAACACAGGGAAGCATAAAAAATGCGGAGACAAAGAAAAAGGACACAAATGACAGAAAAGGAGGAAAGCAAACTACTGGACATAGAGTTCAAAACCACACTTTTAAGGTTTTTCAAGAATTTTCTAGAAAGCGCCGATAAACTTAATGAGATCTACAAGAAATCTAATGAGACCCCCGAGGTTGTGATAAAGGACCAACTAGAAATTAAGCATATACTGACTGAAATAAAGAATATTATACAGACTCCCAACAGCAGACCAGAGGATCGCAAGAATCAAGTCAAAGATTTGAAATATGAAGAAGCAAAAAACACCCAACCAGAAAAGCAAAATGAAAAAAGAATCCAAAAATACGAAGATAGTGTAAGGAGCCTCTGGGACAGCTTCAAGCGTACCAACATCCAAATTATAGGGGTGCCAGAAGAAGAGAGAGAGCAAGATATTGCAAACCTATTTGAAGAAATAATGACAGAAAATTTCCCCTACCTGGTGAAAGAAATAGACTTACAAGTCCAGGAAGCGCAGAGAACCCCAAACAAAAGGAATCCAAAAAGGACCACACCAAGACACATCATAATTAAAATGCCAAGAGCAAAAGACAAAGAGAGAATCTTAAAAGCAGCAAGAGAAAGAAAGTCAGTTACCTATAAGGGAGTACCCATACGACTGTCAGCTGATTTCTCAACAGAAACTTTGCAGGCCAGAAGGGAGTGGCAAGAAATATTCAAAGTGATGAATGCCAAGAATCTACAACCAAGATTACTTTATCCAGCAAAGCTATCATTCAGAATTGAAGGTCAGATAAAGAGCTTCACAGATAAGAAAAAGCTAAAGGAGTTCATCACCACCAAACCAGTATTATATGAAATGCTGAAAGGTATCCTTTAAGAAGAGGAAGAAGAAGAAAAGGTAAAGATACAAATTATGAACAACAAATACACATCTATCAACAAGTGAATCGGAAAATCAAGTGAATAATCTGATGAACAGAATAAACTGGTGATTATAATAGAATCAGGAGCATAGAAAGGGAGTGGACTGGCTATTTTTTGGGGGGAAAGGGGTGAGGGGGATGCGGGAAGAGACTGGACAAAAATCGTGCACCTATGGATGAGGACAGTGGGTGGGGAGTGAGGGAGGAGGGTGGGGTGGGAATTGGGTGGAGGGTAGTTACGGGGGTAAAAAAGAGGAACAAATGTAATAATCTGAACAATAAAGATTTAATTAATAAAAAAATCAAAAAAAATATTAGCTAAACTACAAGCAATAAAGGCAGCCATTAAATATCTTTTTAAAAAAAAAAAACACAAAACACTATAGCATGCAGGCAAGTGCTTAATTGCAATTAAAAACATAAGCATATATATATATATATATATATATATATATATATATCACCCCTTTAAAATAAAACAATAGTCACCATCATTAAATTAATATTAAAAAATATCTATAAAAAGTCTTTCATAATAACCTTACTAAAAAATAAACATATTACAAAGGCAAATTAAAAAATCCTTACTTGCTATCAATAAACATAAAAAACAGACTACTGATTAAAATACAATAAAAAAACAATTAAAATAAATAAACCACACCACATGGTTTCCTAAAATCAATTAGTACGTAATCGAACTAACCACTGCTGTCATTGTAATTCTCTCGGTTTTTCTTATTGTCTACAAAATCAAAACTCCAGCAATAAAACAAGCTTCGCAAACCCCAACCTTCCAAAGCAGAAAGTTCACCGCCTCCCTCTGTCTTCTGCAAAACAAAAAAAGAAAAGATGTGGGAAGCACAGGACTTGGTTGGAATGTCTGTAAGGAGGATTCTCTGAAAGGTTGGAGGCCTCTGAGGGGAACTTGCCTCAGGTGACAGCCCCTGCCTTGATTTTTCTAAACAAGTCCCATCCCTGGGGTGTTTTGCTAGAATCTCTATGTTTAGTCTTTAAAGACCTGACCTTGTAGAAGCATATACTTACTCAAGGATACTTGCCCTACTGATTGTATCTAGAGATTAATTTGAGTTCAAGCTGTTGTTATAATAAAAAGCAAAGGAGGCAGGTGAAC